TGTGGGGTGGATACTACTACTCCAAGTTGGTTCAGTGTCAGTTTGCCTATAATGATGTTGTATGATGTGTTGGCATCGACGAGGAGATATTTGACCATTGTTCTTTTTGAGTTGGGAGGTACTCCGAAGGTTGTCAGCAACTCTATGTAACCACGAGTGTGGACTCGCTCACCTATAAAATTGACTAGGGGTTCTGTATAAGGTTGGATGAGAGAATGGGGGATGTCTAATCTCAGAAACGTTGGCCAGTATAAGATGTCGGTTGAGCTTCCTTGGTCAATCAATGTCTTGTGGACCTCCTAGTTGGCTACTTCAACTACGATGACCATGTGATCATCTTGGTTTGGGTAGATGCTGACATAGTCGTCATCTGTGAAGGTAATTGGCGGCGTGTTGCGCAGTAGAGTTGAGGTGCCAACGTGGATATTGTTGATACTCTGTAGGTGTCTTTTGCACGCCGAGCTGCTTGGGCCGCCTCCGGCAAATCCACCTGCGATGGTATTAATAACTCCTCGTAGAGGAGGTGTTTTTGTGTCTTAGCTTACCTCGGTCTGTCTCGCCCCGCGGGCGTTCTGTCGAGACCTAGAAGGTTGGTCAGCTTGAAAGTTGGATCCTTGACCTCGTCCTCATCCTCTACCTTGCCCTTGGTAGCCTCCCCTATGAGGTTGGGACCTTTGGACATACTGGCCGAGGTGACTACCTTGGACAAGTTCTTCAATTTGGTGCCTGAGTGACCGACATTACTCATTTGTATGGCCATAGTTCCTGTGGTAGCGGTAGTGTTTTGTCCTATCCGCACTGTTAGGGTTGTGCCCAGGTGGCGGTAGGGTAATTAATTCGGCATTGCTAGCCTTTTCTAGGATATGCACTCGAGGCGCATTCAAGGGAGTGTAAAAGTCGTACTTCCCACCCCTATCATGTCGAGGTCTCTTGAATTGAGTTTTGTTCGAGGTCCTCAGCTTGTCCTTGTGACCTTGGTCTTGTTGTGCTTGTGGTTTTCCGCGAATTGTCTCGCGAAACTTGACATGCTCCTCCATTTAGATGTATCCGGCACCGCGAACACCGAGCTCATCCATGTCGGGAGGAGGTCGTTGGCAAAGGCTATCGACGAAGGGTCCTGGTTTCAACGCCATGAGCATGGAGTGCAGGGCGACTTTAGGATTGAGGTTATGTATCTGGATGGACGTATTGGCGAATCGTTCCATGAATTTCCGTAACGACTCGTTCTCGCCCTGTCTAAGGTTGGCCAGTGTGGTAGACTGATGTGATGAGGTCGACTTGTCGCGTATTGTGCTGTGAATCGCCTCATCAAGGTCTCAAATTTATCGATTGACCCTGTTGGCAATTGAGTGTACCAAGCAAGTACTGGGCCTTTCAACGAGGTTGGGAAAAGCTGACACATTAGGGCGTCGTCATTAGTTTACAAGTTCATCTGTGTGACGTACGCGTCAATGTGCTTATCTGACGATCGATGTTCAGAGACTTCCAACCTATGGGGAGAGGTGTCCCCATGATATCGTCGATGAAAGGATGGCGTCTGACACCTAGTCGATGTGGGAAAGCTTGGGTGGTTGCATGGCTGACCTCGTGACCAGAGTGATGCGTCGGCGCATGTGACCAATGTGACATCGGCAGCGATGAGGGTGATTGGTGTTCCTCCTCATGGTGATTGTTTTACTGAGGAGGTTGATTGGGGGGTTGTTGGTGAAATTGGGCACGGATGTGCTCGTTTTCTACGCGCAGAGCCGCCAGGTCAGCTTGGTGCTGGACACGTATAGCTTCAAGGGCTTCTTTACTTTATCGCCGCATTTGTTCGATCTGCTCGATCAAACGTCGAATCGTGGTGTCTCCTTCCATCCTTGGCACATACTCAGTTGTCTGTTACTCTTCTATTATGGCTTCGGGTAGAAACCATAAGATTGGTCAAAAAGGGGAATTTTTTTCGGCCTCACGGTGGGCGCCAAGATGTTCTCACCTGAGATTAGATCGGTGACGATCTCTCTAATGAGATTAGTAAGCCTCCACTAGTTCCCAAGTTGTCCGCTCCAAGATGGGGGTGGTACCTGTAAAAGAGACTTTGATGCTAAAGTTAGTACTTAATAGTGTAGATGTCTCGTATATATAGCAGACGTATCTTGGTGATATTAGGGTTTTTACTATCTACTGGCACGTTGACATTTTTAGGGTTTTACCTTGTGATTGCGGCACGGAGACATGATTGTATTTTATCTGTTTGATAACGTGGCCTCTTTGGGCCGATGTGGTGTTCCGATATCCATGTTTCATGGCCGAGCTGAGAAACTCGGCAATAATGAGTTTACTGCTTGGTCAGGCTAGTAAATCTTTGATCGAGTCTTGGTCAGGTTGGTAAACCTTTGACTAAGTAGGCAGCTTGGTAGAGACAAGTCGACAACTCGATTGGGCCAGTGCAATGTATAACATAACCTATTAAGCAAAATAAACTTAAATAAACTTATTCTTAAAATAAACAGATTCTTCCTCCCATATATATATATATATATATATATGACAAAAACTACATAAAATGTTAAGAAAAAAACAACTTCATGAAAATTGCTAGTCAAAGACATTATACATAAAACGTTATTGACAATATACCAGCTTTTCACATTAGATATGACAAAATATTCGGCTAAAGTCCAATACATATTAGGAAAATATTAATAATAACAACTTTTCATTAAAAGACAGAAAGAAAATAATTTACCAAGTGACCTCCATGTAGAAGGTTGCATTATACTAATGTTTAGTCTTCCGCATAACATACATATAGAGGTCACCTGATGAGAACAAAATAGTGGTATGAGTAAAAAAAAATTGTTAATTTTTTTCTTCAATGTTGACCGCCCCTAATTAATCAATAAATATATTTAGTTTTATTTTTTATTAATAACTTCTAAAAGTACTCTTTTACTGGATTATCCATTATCTTTATAGTAATATTCAATAGGTCTTAGGGCCTCCTTTAGAAAAACTATTATTATTACTATTATCACCTCATTACGTTTCTGCTTCGATTGTCCATTCTATTATTGTTGGGCGGTCATAAAGGTCTAAATACAAGAAGATGGGAAAGAACTAGAAATTGAAGAAAGGGGACAGGCAACGTACATAATAATAATAATAATCCTAATAGCTGCGATAACGATGAATATAAGCAATTGAGAAATGGAAAGTGGTAGGTGAGATCGAAGAAAAAGTCACCTTACCCACTTCGCTAAGCTTCTAACTCATTCCCATTCTTCTTCGTCTCTTTTCTTGGAAAAAGTATTAACAAACAATATCAAGCCACGCGTACGTCCACATAAATTACATATTACACTCTCTTCTGTTCCAGCCAAAAATAAACAAAAGTTTCCAAAGAGAAATGAGAAAGAAAGGTGTTGGAAGTTTCCTTTCAGAAAAAGAAACACTTGAGGAAAAAAAAAATTATCACAATACTTACGGAAATCGTGTGCAGTTCTTGGCTTCTCTATATGTCCAACCTAATGTATTAGTAGATATATTAATTGAGAATTTTAGATTAATTTAAAATTTTTAACTATGATTTTTACAACATCAATTTGTACTGTGTTCTTGTTAATTATTTTAAAAAAATAAAAATAAATATTTAAAGAATAAAGTGGAAGTTTACTATATATTTAAATAATAAAACGACGAAGCATGTGTAAAACTAGTATATACTTCTAATCTAAGGAATATGAATACGGATTGTTTGACAATGTTTTTGAATCTTTGAATTAATGGACAATTAGCCATAATAGGTTTTGAACCATTAAAACTAGATACAAAGTAGGGAATTCCATGTGGAATGCATCTATATACCTAAATATTTGAGTATTGACTACACTATGTGCTTTACTTTTATAATGATATATAAATAAATAAATAATAATAAGTATTATTAAGGATGTTAAAATAATAATATGGTAAAAAAAATTAAGAAGTGTTTGAAAATGAGAATAGTTGATTAGGAAAAAAAAAATCATTTTCTTGCGTCTATCTTTAATTTGTATTGGTAAATTATATTTCGGCGACTAATAAAATGCAGTTATAGCCTTATTACTTTATGTTGTTCTCTGTATTTCTAATAATTTAATGAATAAAAATTTTAGAAATATCCTTAAAAACAATTTTAAAGAAAGAAAGATTCAAATTACATTAAAATATAACAAAAAAAAACTATTAAATAAATAATAGTAAAAATAACTATCAATTTTGATTGGAAGTGAAAAAAAAAATCATAACCGGGCAAGAAAAGTATAAGGAGAGCGTCAAAAAAAATATAATAAAGTGATGCATGTTTCTTTTCAGTTAAATCTTTCAGGAATAAATAATAAAATTTATTTAATAAAAAACTCTTTTCATAAACTATTTTTAATTTAAAAAGTTGCACCCAGGAAAATGAAAAGAAAAAAAAACGTAAATCTGTGTATTTAAAAATATTGCCTCTGAACTGAAAATAAAATATAAATAAATTTGAATTCACTTTACTTTATTTAATAATATTATCTCTAAATATCTTTTATTTAATTAAAGACATTAATTTTAATATCAATTAATGGAGAAACGAAATTTATGTATATTAAATAAAACCAAATAATGTAAATTATTTTTTAATTAATGTATTTTTTATATATATACGAGCGAATCCGGAGAGACTCGGCGTATATAAGTAGAGTTCAAAAGCGATAGCGATAATTACACAATAATAATTATGAAAGAAACTCTCGCAATTAAAATCATGCGCAATTAATTATATAATTAATTAATATTGTAATTAATGATAATGTGTATAAGTAACATGATAAAAAAAAATAGTATATAATAGGAAAAGAAAAGTTTAGTCAAAAGGTCTGGGGCCAAGAATCGTTTGAGTGGGTTCATTTTATTTGGTTTCGTCATGGCTTGTGATTAATCTTAGACTTAAGTGCATCTCAAAATTTCTAGAACCCACGTCACATTGAAGTTGGGTTGGTTTGGTTTCCGTATAATAATATTTATACAAGAGTCCCCTGCAAGAATCAGAACCCTTGTTGACCTTTCCCTTCTCCTTCTCCTTCTCTTTCTCATTCTCTTTCTCTCCTTCTTCTTCTTCCCCTGAAGTTATGGTATTTGTCATTCATTTCAAACAACTGGTTCACCCTTGGACCCATGGATTCTGATCGTCCCCCAAACCCAAACTCTACCTTGTGCCACTCTCGCTTCTTCCTCTTCGGCTTCTATTGCTGGGACTGGGAATTTTAGCCGCTCTTCTCCTCTTTAGTTCCTCTTCCTAATTTCTAATCCCTAATTCATAAATCTTTTTTTTTTGTTTTTTAATTTTATTATTATTTTGGGTCAAATAATTCGTGAGGTAGTAGGTGAAGGGTAGATCCGGAAGAAATGTCGCAGCGTTCGACGCCAGCGCCGTTTTTGACGAAAACGTATCAGCTGGTGGACGATTCCGCCACCGACGACGTCGTTTCCTGGAGCCAAACTGGCAACACTTTTGTCGTTTGGAAACACGCCGATTTCGCTAAGGATTTGCTTCCTAAGTACTTCAAGCACAACAACTTCTCCAGCTTCGTTCGCCAGCTCAACACCTATGTAAGCCTCTCTTTCCTCGTTTTAACTCCTTTTATGTCGTTTATGTCTATATCTACCACTACTTATTAGTATAGCGTGTGGTCGTTTCATGGTGAATTAGGAACGTACGTACGTACTTACGTACGTAAGTGTTAATTAATTTCTAGTTCATTGTTGAAACCAATTTCTTTAATTCTCTCCGCTGTAGCATTTCATCATACTTGCGTAGCGAATTCGATGGGAAATTAATTAATAATGCTTGATTGATGCTTTTATACCGTGTGATTTCATTATTTTGCTTGGAATCTTATCTCCAAGTTTCAACCCAAGGCGAGGATCATTTTGGCGTATATCGAATATTAAAAAGTGTGTTGTATGATATGGAGGATTGCTTGCTTTGAATTTGTCTCTTGTTTGTTGAAGCATCGTTGTTTGATAAGTGTTTTATTTTTATTTTTACTTTTTCTTTAGTATTTTCCACTCAGAATATTCTGTTTCGTGGAAGTTTACTCTACTCCACATGAGGTTCACGGGAAAATGGTGAGATTTGAAGGAGAGATTTATGTGTGGTAGAAGGCACGTGATGCTTAGTGCTTAGATCTTTTCTGTTAGGTGGCCTAATTGGACCAATTTTTTTTCTTTTCTTTTTTTTTCCGCAGTGGAGAGAGCCTTTAAGTGCTTTTTGCTTATTTTTAAACTTGAAAAAAATAATAGAGATATGATTATATGAATAGTGTAACTACGAAAAAGTCAAACTAATAATAAAGGAGTGAACTGAATAGTTAAGGTAAGGATACTATATTATGACTGGTTTTTTTTTTTTTAATGAAAGATATTAACTTATCCTCTGAAAAACGGCCTTCTGTGTAACGCATTGATTTAATTTAATTGCCAAAGATAATTGTGACTTCGGTTTAACTTTTATTTATTACTTAATTATTAAATTGCGTGATGTTATTCAAAGAATGAATTTGATAATGGTAATAATTATTTCGAAGGTAAAATAATAGTAGTAGATAAAAATAAGTTATTGCTGTATATAATAAAAATGATATTATAGGAAGTGGAGTTGGTGGCTAAAATACATTATTAATATTAATTTTTGGACGGAAATTGTAGTTGCCACTTACCTTTGTATAAATGCGAAAAAAATGAATAGTGGCGACAATAGTTGCGCCGCCACAGTACAGACCGATCCCGCTTCCTATGTTTGGCAATGGGCGGATTGGTCGGATCATGTTATGTTATGTTATTTTTATTTTATTTTATTTTTTAATTCTATACTTTAGTTGGCTTCCTTTTGCTCTGTTTTTATTGCATGCTGACTTTAATGAATTGGGCCATTTGTATACGAATTTTTTTTTTTTTTTTCCAAGTAATACCTCAATACATCCAACCAAATAACAATAATCAAACAAATTCCAATTATTTTGAGATTTTTATTTTTATTTATTTATGCTCAAAAAAGAAGAAAAGTAGAAACAGTAATTTTTGTTCTCAAATGCCTTTTTAGCTGCTTTCCCTTATTATTGAATTAATTAAAAAATATTAACAATTAATTTTTAAAGTAATCATTGTATATTTTCAAAATTAATATTGATTTTAATTAATTAAATATTAAAAAAAATTATGCGAATTAAATATTAAACTTAAATATACTTTCCTTTTTGTAAAAAAAAAAAAATAAACAGAGACTTTAACATTTATCCATTTTTAAGACTCATTCATGTATTTTGTTTCATGAGTCTATTTTTTTTTTCTAAAAAGTTTTTTGATAAGTTTCAGGTTATAATTTACCTAGTCAAAAGTAAAATATTTATATTAAAAAATTCATTAAACAACATAAAAGATGTTAAATGTTTTATTTTTTAAAAATAATTTTGAATGATAAATTTTATATTTCTGTCTTCTGTGGTGCATATTCGAAAAATCGTTTATGGTGTATTTATGAATAGAGAAATGTTATTATCTTTTTTACACTGTTTTTAACACATTGTCGAAAATTATTTAAAATTACTAAAAATTGTGAGTTTACTTTTATTTTTTAGTTAAAATATTTTTATTTTATTTTTAGTAAATGAGAAGAAGAGTTGAGAGAGATAGGAGGAATGTGTCGTGTGTAAAACTAGAGTAAATTGGTCTTTATTTGTTGCCGAAGATAAAATGAAGAAGCTAAAAAAAAATGATATTTTGAACGTTGAACTATTCAGGGATTCCGAAAGATAGTTCCGGACAAATGGGAATTCGCGAACGAGTATTTCAAGCGAGGACAGAAGGAGCTCCTCGTCGAAATCAAGCGGCGGAAGACGGTGGTGCAAGCGCCGGCGGCCGGGAAATCCGTGGGCGGCGGGGGAAACATCTCGGCGTCTCACTCGGGCGGCGGCGACGACATGGGGTCTACGTCGACGGGGTCGGTGGAGGCGACGCCTCAGGGCGCGGACTTATCGGGCGAGAACGAGAAATTGAAGAAAGACAACGAGAAATTGAGCAGCGAGCTGGCGCGCGCGAAGAAGCAGTGCGAGGAACTCGTGAGTTTTCTGAGGGAGTCTCTGAAGGTGTGTCCCGATGTGATAAACCGCATCATTCGTCAAGGAACGTGTGGGTCCGGCGACGATGCGGTGCGTTTTGATGCCAATGATGATGACGAAAATGCGGTAGGTGAATGTGAAGAACCCAGCGGTGGAGAAAGTTTGAAACTGTTTGGTGTTTGGTTGAAGGGTCAGGATGGGAAGGACAATGAGAATTTGAAGATCGCTAGCGGTAACTGCCGCAAGAGAGGGCCTCAAGACCCTATTGCTCGCACCGCCAAGGAATTGAAGACCCTTGTTTAGGACACACACATATCATAAGCTTGCTTCCTATTCATGTTTTCACCAATTTCATACTCAGATCTAGAAAGAAAAAAACACTTTGGTCATCATGGAACATGTATGGCTTTTTTTCTTCTTCTTAGTTTTATATGTACACAAATGGTAGTTGTTTATTCATGACATTTTGTAATTTGCTTTGGTGGTGCAGGACTAAGTAATGGTTACTAATAATGTTGATTATCATAATGTGTATAAGTATAAACATCGATTTCTATGGTTTAATTTACATGGGGTGCGCTTGGTTTCAATTTTTAATTGATGCTTCGTACTTTTAGTTTAGGATTTTGACACATAAATTCACGCTCTCTTGAATGAAATTATTGCGTGGGACCAGACTTTTGCATCCTCTCAGTCATTGGGTTGAGGTTTATAAGATTTTTTTTAACAATTTCTTTATAAATTTCAAAAGAATTTAATAATTTTAAAGATTTTTAATTTTTTTTATAAAAATATAATATTTTTTTATAATCAAGATTTTGTGATATTGATTTTAATTTAAGAATAATTTATAAGACTTAAAAGCACTTTATTATATTTTAAAAGATAATATAAACTTTTAAAAAAATGATTTTTGTACATATAAAAATGATAAATTTTAAATAAAAATTAATATTTTTTTTAATTTTTAATAAACAATCAATTTTGATTTCATGTTCATTTAAATGACTTTTTTTACATACAATTTTTTTTTATATGTTTATGTTTTCTCATTATATTATTGAATTTGAATAATATGTTCAAAATTATGATATCAATTAATTGGTAGAATTATCAAAATATATTTTTAATATATTTAAAATTTTGATATTTTAATATTAAATTTTATTAAAAATAATTCTCGATTAAATTTTAATTATTTAAAAAATTTAATAATAAATAATATTTATTAACTTAAAAATAAATTTTCATATTTAATAATTAAAAAAATATCAATAAATTATGTATCAATATTGATAGGTAAAACTATAATTCAATAACATTGATAAGAAAAATAAATAAAGAAAAAAGTAGAAGAAAAAATAAATGAGAAAGATAAAAAAAAAAATAGATAGAAAAGAAGAGAAAATAGAAAACGAGAGAGAGAGAAAAATGAAAAAAAAATGAGGAGGAAAAAAAAAAGAAATTAATAACATTATATAAAATCTGAATGATTTCAATTATTTTAATTGAATACGACATGAGATTTTTTTTATAATAAAAAGAATCTTTTACTATATCTCCTAATTAATTAAACTGCGTCAGGTTTGCCAGTAGATCCTCTCCCGAGTAATGCGTCGTATATTGATATATTTTGATTTTGATTTTGAAGTCAAAATTTAGGATGATGACATTGACATTTTCTAGAAACAATTTTTATGAAGTTACATTCATTTTCATAGTTGTTTAGAACATTAAGGAAAATAGGAAATAAAATAACGTAAACGAGGTTTTACGATTATAAATCATAAACCAATAGATGAAATATATATATATATATAATTTTATTTTGTTTGAATTTGACTTTTCCAAAGTCTGCAGGAACATTTTAATATATTGTTTAATGTAACGGACTAATTTAGCCATAGTAAAATATTCTCTTTAGCTTATTGAATACGCACTCATAGTCTGAAGTGTCAACTAATTTACGGTTGACAAGTTTAACCTTGAATTTTTTTTTTTTGGTGAAATGAAAAAAATATTGTGTAAATAAATATTTAACTATTACTTATGATCATAATTTTTAAATTTAAAAATATAAATATACATACAGTTAAACACATATATAAATAAAAATGATTAAATATATAATATATTTATATGAGATTTTGAATTACTGTTAGAAATTATTACATAACAAAAAAAATAAATTTATAATAGTATGTTACTAACATATTACTAAAAAAACATAGGTTAAAACCTTATTTTGGTCCCTTATAATCTTTTTTTGTTTCAATTTAGTCCCTCATTAATTTTTGGTCTCAATTTGGTCCCAAATTAATTAATTAGTTTCTATTTAGTCCTAAATTAATTAATTGGTTTCAATGTGGGACTTTCCGTCCAAATTGCTTTAACCATGTTAACTTTTGGCCACGTGGACGCCACGTAGATGCATACGTGGCATCCACGTGGATGAGAATTTTTTTGAAAACACCACGACCCAGAACGGCCCGTTCTGAAAACGGAACGGGCCGTCCTGGTTGCAAAATTAAAACACCACCAGTGAAGCAAAACGGGTCGTTCTGCTTTTAACATGTTCCATCAATAGCACCTAACCTATGCCAATTTTGGCGGACTGTGCTCCACCCCGGTGAACTCATGTGGTTTCGACGTGCCCAGAGGCCAGAGGTGAATCCATTGGACTTTCTTCGGAGAGGAAGGAGGGAGGCTTTCTTTGGAGATGGCGCACGCGGGTAGGG